AATAAAACATCTTTTATTGCACTTGGGAAAAATAATAGAACACAAAGGGCTACACACATATTGCAAAAATAGAATAAAAATACAATTTTGGACATAGAAACTATTTTTTGCTCACCTTAAAACAGTTTCAAATGATATTTGGATCTTAATTTATAAACCTAAATATCCACACACACATCATATTAGTTGATTTCAGGCCTTATATTGGCCTGTAACTTAAGTTTGTGATCATTCTCTACAGTAAAATATGACTAAAGAAAGTAGCTCAACCAACTTTACTCCCCGTATTAGAATAATCGTCTTTCACATACAGCTCAGCTGATTCTTATCTTGTAGTCTCTGAAAGCAAGTATAAAAATACTTTTTTTTTTCCATCAAGCCAATCAAAGATCTGATTCAGTCAACAGTCTAAAATGCAAACCAATTCTGCCAGGAATTGAATTTAGTAAAAAACCACTTCAATCATGTTTTTAGAAGTTTTCAGATGCTTAGCAAATGCTCATAAAAATACTCAAACACAAGTTAAAATACATACTTTACTTCTTTTTGAATCAAAATCAAAATCAAACATCTAATTTGATCCATATAACACAATGATTTAAAGAAAAAACAAAATCCTCAGACTGCACAGGTAGAGGAAGCAGCAGAGATGACATTGGTTTTTTCATTCATTCTTTTGTTTTACACTGGCAGAAAACAACGAAGACGTCAAACGCCTGGACGATTCCACGTAAAGTTGATGAAAGCAGTTCGGTGTTGACTGTGGTATTTGTGATGGGCTCTGCAGTGGGGCGACAGTCCGATGAACAGGCTGCAGCGGCTCATGCTTGTTATGAACATCTCAGAATCAGTGACAAGCAAGAAACAGAAACCGACCTGGGAAAAGAAAATGACAAATTGAGATTTTTTCATTCAACTCAAGATTCAAGCACTTTCCATCTTCTTCATGAATGGAGGTGTAAGAACAAAAATAAAATTATACCCACGTATTGATGTAAGGGGTTAACAAACATGACCAATCGCCACATTTTCATCACTGCGTGTTTTCCATCATCATAAAATCGCTCTTTGAGCCTTAGCATCTGGGTAAGTAAGGCTTTGCTCACACTGCTGGAGAAACTGTTTTTTGTTGTTGCTGCTCATACCGTCAGATCACATTTCAGTCACCTTTTACATGAAGTATTCTAAACTAAAATTAATTTTTGTAAACATGGCACACAATAAACTGTTAAATATAAACTGTTGAATCTACAACAAAAAAAGGACTAAGCATTTTCCTGTGAACACAGGGCGTGTTGCCATAAAGATCAATAAGAGTGTTCAAATAGATCAATGACACCTGAAATATTCTAACCTGATGAATATTGCATTCAATACATCTATTGTGACTGCAAGATGAAAGTGCAAATTAGACTAAATGTATTTTACAAATGTAAACTGCAGCCATGACAATGATCCAGACATAAAAAAATATACATAAAAAAGTGCTAATTTTCTTAGTCATATTTTAATGACTTAGGCACAATATAATTTAAGAAAACATATGAAACACCAAAAGAAACAAACAAAAAGAAATTAAATTATCATCATCATCATTTTGCTGGCAAGCAGAAAACAACAGTCTTCTTTGACGGTCAAAGCAATACCGCAGATCACACAGAACCAAACAATTAATACACACTGTGTCTCTATGTTGCTACCTTTGACTGACAAGTCTGGCCCTAGTCGTCCTTCTTGAATTTGCCGTTGATGTAGGGAACATAATCCAGAATCACACGCCAGTCTGTGAAGTAGACCAGGGCCACGCCTCCAGTTGTTCCCCAGAAGGTCATAGTCGGGATCCTGGAGAGTGGAAACAAATCACTCAAACACATAAGTGAGCCAAAAACCAATTTGTATTTGAGAGAACCACATATTAAGGTGAAGCTAAAAAAATGCATTTGGTTGTCTGTTTAGTTAGATGGATTAAAAAATAGAAGAAAAAAAAACAATAGACAATACACGTTAAACAGATGAAAACAAGCATAAAGAACCATGTCAGTCAAGCATTACATCAGAAATTACACAGTAAATAAACACATATTAGAAATAACAGTCTCATTTCCAGATGGGATACAGTTATACAGGGCCCAGGTTTTTAGTAACTTGCAAAAAAAATTTTTTTTTATTCAAATATTTATCCTGAAGACAGTGGAACAAGGAATGCGGTGAAATTAAATTTGACATTTTCACACCTCCATTTTCTTTTTCCATACTTACACAGACCTGGAAACTATTTAAAGAATCTAATTAAATTCCTTTCCAAACTTGTCAAGATTGTGTAGAAACTCAGTTACTATGACCCCAGACAATTATGACCGGTTTACTCAACTTGTTAAAAATTAATAAATAGTTAAGACAGGCAAAACTATTATATTATGCAAAATATTATGTAAAAGGTTTTTAAATAATTTACCAGAATATCTTGATCCCCGATTTTATTTTAAGTATTTGACAAATAAAGCCAGTTAGCTCTTTGTTCACCTTAAAATAATACTGAAACACATAAGTGAGCCAAAAACCAATCTGTATTTGAGAGAACCACATATTAACGTTACAATACGTTACAATATTCCCAATGCTATATGGTAATCGGAAAATAATAATAATAATAATAAAAAAGAAATAGAAAAAGAGGATAATGTCTTAATGTAACATATTTTCAATTTCACGGATTTTTGACCCAGAATCGAGCTAATAGCCTGAAACATACCTATGTCCCCATTGCTATGACCTCGGCTAGGCTAACGGCTAATTTTAGGTACTACTAAGCCACAACTCCAAGCTCCATATGTCAAATTTAATCAATTATTTACCAACAAAAGCAATATGAAAGCACATACCACGACTTGGCGATGGCCGTATACTTCTGACCGATCAATTTGCCAATCATTTTAGATGAGATATGCCCTTCTACCTACAGGACGCGCTCCTTTAAATGGTGCGAAGAACTTCCGCCACAACGCACCCTAATTACTTCCGCTTATTTACAAAATAAAAGTCGTGACCTAAAATGAAAACAATCTAGTGCTCCTGTTGCATCCTTCCCGAACGCGTATGTTTGGGAAGGATGTAACAATATATTGTGGAAGTAGTCTTGCAAAATATATTACTTTAAGTATTCAAATAAAGTTTTTTTTATTGATCCTAAATGACAACATTGACAATGTGTCAGTTAGTTTTCATTTGCTACTTATTCTTCGTAGAATATTATGTGTACTTGTTCTGATGTCAGTTTTTTTTCGTAACTACCACTACGTCTTATAGATTTACATATGATAAAAATGAAAATAGACTACCAATGAAAATATTAAAGATCATTTTTACCGGCCCTTAGAACCAATACGTAAGCAGCCATGTTGTGAGTGGCAAGTTTGCCACATGTAGCAAGCAACAGGAGAGGTCTATTTTTTTTTTCGTGTCACAGAAGCAGTAATAATTACGTCAAATTCATTTTAATTATCACTTAAACAAAAATGGACAACTTTATCTTCAACTTTTTAGCAAACACCAAAACATTTGGTTCCTTCAGACTATAACAAATTCACCAAGAAGCTTTTAGTCGCAATTTTGAATAGCAAGAAAAGACTTCTGTCTCTCACTACTCCACTTTACTCGTAACCTTGCAGAACACAGTGGCTTTAGAGTGCCCCACATGTGGAAAAAAATAACAACCAAGTTTAGAAAGTAAAGGTGAACTACAAGGTCAAGGTGGACTTCATGTGAGATGACCAAGGAAGAAAGCTTATCAATAGAAAGTGAGGCTGGAATTTACCACAGAGACCTTAAGGTAGATGAGACAAAATGTCCATCAGCTCTATGATCACAGAGCAAAAATGCTAATCAAGTTTAACTACCACCATTTCAATTGAGCCACAATCTAAATCAGTTTGTCAGTAAAGATTTTTTACTCCTTTTGTCAGATTTAAGTTCAGTTACCACTGTGGGCTTTTTGTTCATAAACAGAAGGTACTTGTTGAAATGCAGATTTTCCAGAGATGAGACAGAGACAGCAAAGTGCAAAGAACAAAAACTTTTAATATCACTTGCAAGTGGAGAACAACACAGATAAAATCATAGCAAACTCTAGGTGTGTTCTGAGGAGGCTGAAACAATCACAAAATCATATACAGTTCCTTGGTGCACAGGAAGTTGGGAGTCAGTTCAAATGCCCACTACCAAATTAGGACACATAACATAAACAAGGGTAGATAGCCCTGAGGGGGAGGCGTCCTTTACCTAGCTTCCTCCAAGGCCACTCAGATAAGTTGAGCATCTCATCCTGTTCCCATAGTGGGGGTGCACTAACTATTTGTTATCTCTTCCCTTCCAGGCAGCTGGCCTTGGTCCTCCCTTTTACCAACACAAAGAACTGTTCTTATGAGACTATGAGTTACCAGGTGCAGCTGGATAGGAGAGAGAGAAGTAGAAAAACAGCTTATACAACTCAGAATATTTTACATGTCTAGATGTAATCTTAAATATTGTAGATAATTTTGTTCCACATACCGACTATTCATGAATGCTCGCTTACAAAGTATGTATACAATTTGCCCCCATATGTCCAGTTTTAGTTTTCTATGACTTTTATTATCATTATTATTAATAGTAATATCACCACTGTGTGGAGAGACATATTCCTGCATTTATATTGTTTTTAATGTTTATGTATTAATAAATATGTAAACTATAACTGTCCCAATTTCTTCATTTTATTTAGATAAATTAGTTTTTTCTTTATCACTGAGTGAGAAATGTCCCCAGATTTAGTTTTGGCAATCTGGTCACCTTAGTCTACTTTCTACAGAATTCAATTCAGTTTAATTGTCAGGACAAAAAAAAACCTAATTGAACAGTTTTAAGAGAAGTTTATGTAAATCAAAAAAGATCCTGTTCCTTTGGGTAAAAATGAATTTCTTCTTAAAATTTAAAAGTCTAAATAACAACACAGAGAACAGACGTTATTAAAAATGGCACATTTATTGCTACATCACTGTTATATACACAACAGCTCTCAATATCTACTTTATATATAAAAAATAGGAAACTGGAGGCACTTTGAGGACATAGCCTACATAGATAATGTCCCCAAATATGAGAAGACAGAACTCTGTGGCAGGTCATTGTTCACTGAGGACAGACAGGGTTTGTTAACAAACATATCAATTGTACATTTTGAGACAAGGTTACTGCAGAAATAGCCACTGACAAAACAAAATCTTTAAAAGTGTTTTTTCCAAATTAAACAAAGTCTTTTTTTTTCTTCCCTTGGGAAATGTTTGAGTAAACGAGGCTCGTCCACAGGGCGGGATGAGTGATAATATGACAAATACTGTTCCCTATCAGTGTTGGCTTCCAGTGATAAAAGTTGACATGGGTCCATCTTGCAGCTGTACATAAACATCAATGCACAGGCCAGATCTAAGGCAAAAATCTTAGCAACATGAGAATGTGAAAGAGGAGAGATTTCGATACAATTTTCAGCTTCAAAGTTGTAGATCAAGTTACTAGTCAGGTAACATCTCATTACACACTACTGTGTAATTCCTCACGTGACAGATGTTACTAAAGTATTAATTTTTATTGCAAGAAGATACAAGTTATAAAACCTTGAAAGTAACAACATCCACCTGGACGCAATGAGGCACTGGTGAGTAACCACTATCCAAGCTCCTGAAGTCAGGAAAATAAAAGGCTAAGGCCACCTTTTTTCTTTTTATTTATCTATTTGAAGATAGATAAATCTATTATCTATTTTTATTTATCTATTTCTTATCACAATGAAACCGAATTTTCCCTACCACTGCATCACATAAATCAACAAGCTAATTGTAAGGCTGAATGTTAGGGAAGAGGGAGGTGTGTAAAAGAAAGAAATCAGTCATTTCTTGTTCAAAATGAAAAATAATAATAAAAACATTTGCAAATTACACCTCGCCAACAAGGTTTAGTGATTTCAAACAAGTGTATACTTAAAAAATGGACCAATATCACAACATGTGATGTCACAGCGGGATAATTTGTCTTTGCTAACATCTCCAAGCACCTGGCACCAAAGAAAAAAAGCTCACTTTGTTTATGGAATCTAATCTTCCTTGTCTTACATTAAAACAACATAAACAAAAAAGGAAAAAGCATTCCGAACAAAACAACTATATTACAACGTAAAAAATAAAATACAAAAACAAAGATATAGTATGAACTCTACAACAGGAAGATCCTTATAACAGGCCTCACAATTGTTCAATAAGGGGGCGGTGGTGCTGAGAACATCCAACGCTCAACACAAGAGCTACCAAAACATGTCAGTCAATGGCAAAAGAGAAAATTGTCTTAAAGGTAGCAGTAACACTCATGATCCCTTTCAATACTTAGCAAATTGTCTGCAAGCAAAATGTTATTAATCACAACACAAACTGCTCTGAGACTTAAATGAGTTCACCATGTCGTAACAGTGACATTGTGTAGGTTATGAATATATGCAGGATGATGCAGCTGGCTTTAAAGAGGCGAAGGACGCTTGGGTCCAACGTCTAGACCTACATCCGTGTGTGTTTGCGTCTGTGGTGGGCCTCCCTCTGGCAGTCTTTCCATTCCACTTGCATGGCAGTGACTTAACAGATGTACACGACTTAAAAGAGATTAAAGACTCTGGGCTCTGCAGTTCTGGGCCAAGAAAACAAAAGTCACCCAAAGTTCCAATGCACAGTCAGCGACTCTGGCAACCTTCTCAGCCACTGAAATAAAGTTAAGAAAAAGAGCCTGAAACAGCAACAGAAAAAGAAGCCAGCTTCTCCTGACAGATCAGGTACAATGTCCCGGAAAAGTATTTCGTCCCCTTAAACTTGTTCCCCATTTTGTCACTCAGCAATCACAAACTTCAGGGCATTGTTTTTGGATTTCATAGAATAGCAATGTTAGTAGTGCAAATAGCTGATTTACAATGGAAAATAGCAAAGCAGTCAGCCTCCACATGTAGGTTGGTATTGTCACTCGAAGTACTTTTCACTGGTCTAACATGTATAGTCATATTTAATAAATTAGATAGTATGTTGCGATAAGGCTCGTTTGTCAGATTATGAAAATTTATTAAGTGTGTGTTATTGTTTCTATTGCTGTGATGTAATATTCTAGTATAAAATGTCATGTTTTCATTAGCTGTAAGTGGAAAATCACCTTAATTAACATAAATAAAGGCTCGAACATATGAGTCTGTATCTGTTGTGAGTTATCTATTGGAAAACAAAAAATCGAATAAAGTTATTGAAAGGGTCCATGCATTACCAGCTGTAATAAATCATAAACCATTTGTTTCAAAAGTGTAAGGTTGTGGAAAACTGAGATTTGAAATACTGACTTTTCTTAATTTTTTTTTAAACTTTATTATTCAAAATAAATCCATCACATGTTTTTGTACGGTTATTAAATCATTTCACAACTTAAATTAGATTTAACATTATTATTATTAAAGTACTCAGTACCTAGCTAGTCTTTTTACCAAATTACCAAATTTGGTTGACTACTTTTTACTTCAACTTAAGTAAAAAAAAAAATATTGAAGTTGTGCTCGAGAACAATTTTTTGGCAACTCTACCCACCTCTGCATATTTCTTGGAAAAAAATTCTATTTCCTTTAGTCTCAGGTAAAATCTGAACAAAACACCGTGAACAATGTGGTTCCAAAGTGACAAATGTGAAGAAGTTCATAGGGTTTGAATGCTTTTGCAAGGCAGAGTGTCTTCATTTTTCTGTACTTCAGCCATCATGACCAAACACTGCACACTATAAAGACATGATTAAACAGATTTTTGTTCAATCGTCAGGTGTATAAATCACCCCTCTCAACTTGTGAAGAATGTAAGACCTCTTTTTGATGGGAATGCCAAAAACTACTCAACAAGAAAAAGCTCAACTTCACTCAGAGCAACTGATCCAAAAGTGTTTTTTGATCCAAACAAGTTTTGCTCCCGATGTGTAAAGCAATTTTTGACAATGTCCTAAAAAAACCCCAAACATTATCATAAGAGCATTTTTTTTGTCCATTATCCACTGTCTCCAAAAGCAGTGTGTTCAGTTCCAAGTACTTTCACGTAAAAGTCAATAAAGTTGTATTTGTTTACTCTGTCCCGTGTGCTTCTTGTATTTGTTCTCATCGTCAGGAATGTGGCCACCTATAATGAGGTGTTTGCATGATTATCACACACTGAGATGGACGACAATGATCGATAAGGCCACGTGTTCGTTCGTAGGGCTGGGCAATCAACAGGAACTGGAAGAGAAAGGAGGGAAGACGGTTAACATTCAAGAGAAAAACAGCAATAACTAGCGATCATAATTCTCTCAAAGGATCACAATAGGATAACTGAGAGTTCAATAGCGAGCCAAAATTATCCACACGCTTCTATTATATTTCAGAAAACAATTCCCTTTTCATTTTGAACATAAAGTCTCCTCTGACTAAAGCTCAGATTAACTTTAAAACCAATATTGCTAAGGGTGGAAGAGTCCAAAAGAAGCTGTGAAATGGTCCCAGTATAAATTGGAACTCAGATTTATCCAGATTACAGCATATGCAATAAAGAATGCAAACTCAAGTGTTTTTCGACAGTCACTCTTTTATTTTTCGTTTTGTTTTCAGACTGAAGGACAGTAGTGAAGCTTTGGCAGACGTACCTGAGTATTACATGTGACCCACGGGGTTATGCCCATCCCCTCCTAGAGAAGGGTGACCCCCGCCCAGCTGCAGCTGGTGCTCCAGCCCCGAAACCTTCTCCTCCTCTCGCCTCTTGAGGCAGGCGGCTTTTGGGTTTAAATTACGCTCTAAAAAGATAAACAGAAAACAAACGTCAAATGAATATTCATCTCCAGGTACTGACGCTTTAGAACACTTTGCGAGAGGGCAAGCAAGACAAAAGGATGGAAAGTGAGGTGAGTTGTGCAAGCATTTGGCAGAAAGCAGAGATTTACTTCCTTAAACGTTCTCCTGTTCTCCTATCTTCATGTACTGCCATAGAGCCGCAGAGAAGAGCCAAATGAACACCAAGCGGTCAGTGCAGGCAAAGTCGTACGAGTCCAGCTCTAGCGAGAGAAATCCAGCTGTCTAAGTGGATCACACCTGCTTGCACTCGGCTGACCTACCTCGCACCTGCTTCTCCAGGCTCAGGATGACCTGGACAGCCTGCTGCAGGATGACGAGCTTGGTCTGGGCCTTGTCGCTCTGCAGGTGGACCTGACACATCCTGCCCAGCTCCCTGAAGGCTTCGTTTATGTCGCGAACTCGCACTCTCTCCCTGGCATTGTTAGCTAGGCGGCGATCGCGCTCCCTCTGCTCCTTCTCCTCCGCAGTCAGGTTCTCGTCGGTCAAAGAGACGAGGCTGCAGCCGGGAGGAGAAGTAAGGGGTGGGGGAGGGAGGAGTGGAGTACGTTGTGATTTATTTTTCCCCGTCCCACAACAATGGTGAACAACCCTAAATCACATCCCTCCTGAAATATGCTTGAACAATCTGAATTTGTAACTTCAATGAAGAATTTTCACCCTGTTTCTGTAATTGTTTTGTACTAGGAAGTGAATCAATTGATGCGGGTCAAAATGCTTCTAAGCTCCAGAGAAAAACCTGAAACTATTAAAAAAGACCTCAGTAGAAACGCACCACAGGTCCACTGAAACATTTATGGACATCTACTTTCTTTTTGGGTGCAATTTTGAGAAGTTTGAGAGCAGGGAGCAATCAAGACGAAGTGATACCAAAATACAAGTCCTGAGCTATAGGTTTGGTCATTAGGGTCCAGAATGGAAGTTGGGGATCGGGGGAAGATATGGACACAGAGTTATGAGAAAGACAGGAAGCAACACCATCTGCCAAATGCAATACACGGAAAGAGCTGAAGCAGGTTAACTGTGTCAAATACATCAGCAGGCGATGTATTCATTCATCTCAAAGCGAGAAAGACGTCAGCCGGTCTTTGTTGCCGTCTTCAAATGGAAAATAAGAGGAGATGAAGCAAAAACGTAAAGGGTTAGAAAGAAGGAGAGTTTTAATGTTAAAAAGGCTGAAGCGTGCAGAACAAAGAGTCCAAACACGAAGGAATGTTAATTCACAACACACAGCTCAGCTTTGAGGCAACTAAGTCTAATTTGGTAAAAGGTTATAAAAAAAAGGACATTAAATCAAAATCACAGTTGTTCAAGTCAAGCACAACAGGCAATTGTGAAAGAAATGACTAGATGAAGGCATAAAAAGCGATTACTAAAGCCAAAACAAGTGAAGCAGACAGTGTGCTGTGAGCGAGGCAGCGGAGTGAAGTAAAAGCAATGACAGACCCGTTATGAGAAAATGGAAACCTTCAGGGTGAACAGGAGAATGGCCACGTCTTAAAACTGTGACACAGCTTTATTTGTTCTAATCCTCTCTTTGCTTTTAGGACATTTTAGACACCAGAACTATAAAAATCCAAATAGCTTAGATATGTTTAGCAGATTTAAATATAAGAATTCGTTCTGATTCTTTTGCAAACAATGTCAGAGAAGGTCAAGCTGTGTGCGAGTTTTAATTTGGAAAGAGGCCCCTCCCCCTCCGCTTCCTTTCTCTCTGGACACCCACTGACCTCGAACTTGCTGCTCCAGGTTGAGTATAACTGTAACGGCCTGTTGCAGAATGATCAATTTGGTTTGGGGTTTCTCATAGCTGAGGTGGAGCTGACACATGCGACCCAGCTCCTTAAAAGCCTCATTGATGTCCCGCACGCGCAGCCGCTCACGGGCGTTGTTCGCCAACCTCCGTGCTTTCTCCCGCTCAGCCTTTATCTCCACCGGCAGATCTTCATCGTCATCCTCATCATCCAGACTACTGATGAGTTGGTGGCAGATAAGGAGGGAAGGAGACAATAATATGGGTATAGCTCATTTGGGCAAGGATCCCATATACAGTTGTCAGGTGTTTATATCCACTTATCACAGGGACGACTGTCATCATTTTGGGCTTTTATTGGTTTGTCTGAACTGGACTTTTATCAGGTTCTATCGATTGTACAATATACATTTGCCAAAATAAACATGCAAAGAGGCTAAAAAATACACCCTGAATGATATTTTCACTTTTGGCCTTCAGTAAGTAGGAGAGAAACCACACGCTTTTTGTAGTCATCGGTCCTTGCGTGTTACTGGTTGGACATTTGACCATTCTTCGTGGCAAAATTCATTCAAATCGGTTGACTCCCTGGAACTGATCCAGCTTTAAATTGTAGTTTATCATTTTTCAGCAGTGCTGAAGTCAGGACCATCAGCTCAGTGTTAGCCTGTTTGTCCAGGATGTGTTTCACATAACTGGCTTGTTAAGCGAAGAGGAAGAATTTGGAGATTAGTCATTTATCTGCAATAAACTCAAATTCCAGTCTTTAAAAATCACTAGTCATTTTCTTACTTGAAAAAAAAAAAGGTTAAAATGTTATTAAAGGCCCAAAATGTTAATGACATTCATGCCTCTAAAAAGTGCATGTAAACTTATGACCAGAGCTGTACCTGGCTAAGTAATTTTCCTAATTTGTGCTTCATGTTCAAGGGACTACCACAATAAAAGAAGCTCTAAACAATGGGTTGTTTTTTAATCACATAACAGAAATTGAATTAGCTGGTAAAACGTTCTAATTTCTGTCATATTATTAACATTATGCCTGAAGATTTGTCAAGCATATACTTTTTTTTTTCTAATTCTGCAACTGCAAATATTCTAATTCTATATAAATTACATTAAACATTATGGTGCAGTTATGATTTGGACACCTTGTTCGAAGACGAGCCTTCAGATCTTTTCTGTCGTCCTCTGACTTGTCTGTAATTGAGCAATTCTCATCGTCCTCTTTCTCTTCTCGCTTGATAGATGTGCCACCAGAACGATTCCCACTTCCAGGCAGGCCTGAACACACACAGCAAACAAGGTGCTAAACAACACTGTTACTTATTTGTGACCAAAAATAGAGATTGCAATGAGAGCAGAAAAACCTACCCGTAAAACTATCCGGCTGAGACCCTGAATGAGCAGATGCAGGGCCGTGATGCAAAAGTCCTCCACTAGAGGGCAGACCAACTGAATCCTCAAGGTGGCTGGAAACCTTTAAAACAGTTGTTCTTGTTAGTGCTGGCTTAAAAGCAGAAAAACACCATTTGGCCAATCCTCCCTCCCCCAGTGACCCTTGAATAACACATCAACCCTCTTCCTGAATCTCACCAGTCCTTGCAGACGACTGGCCAATCCGAGAGCTGCACTGTTGAAGCCCGGTGCGATCCCTAAGCCAGCCGACAACAGGCTGTGCATTTCTGCAAGTCCTGGCCCTCCCTGTCCACTGGCGTGCCGCTGGAGGACATTGATGGCTTCGTCCAGACGGTCCTCCAGTTTACTCTGCTGGGGAACGGGGAGAAGGACAACACACGTAAGATTAAGTGTCATTTACGTAATCGCCCTGTTTCTACGTCAAACGTCACACAAAGTGACTCACCATGGACTGAATTCCTCCCTCAAAGTTAGGTGAAGGGGTGGCCTGGCCTGAGGACCGAGTCCACTGTGATGCAGAACCTTGAAGAAGAAAAACAGAAGGGTGATAAGGTTCATTCCTACAGATCAGACAAGTATCTATAAGGCAGGTAGGAGATTTAGAAATGGAATGATTTGCTTTTAAAGTTCAGAAGCAAGGCAATTTTATCTGCACACATTTTCAGCGACAATGAAATTCGCAGTGTTTCATATGATTAGAACAAACAAGCAGGAAACATTACACTGCAGAGGCAAGGTAAGGGAAAACAATGACAGGTTAAAAACAGGCTACATTTTATGACGTTTCAATTGTTATTGATCAATATGGCTCTAAACAAATGAATCTTTAGCTCCGAGGACTCGTGCATTGATCAGGATTTTTAGATTTGAAGTATATGATAAAGTAAATGAAGCGATCTGATGTTAAGAGCCACAACAAATTTCCAGAACTCTCAGTCAATTTATCTAATTTTGTGCCAATATAAAAGGCTATGATGAATCTTCGACAGATATTTCTATAGAGGTCGGACTTTAAATATGGAACATAAAAAAACAGAGAGTCGAAGAAAAACACCACTAAATGAAGAAAGACAGGAAAGAAGAAATAAAAGAATGAACGACAGGACAGACGAGAGGAAAGATAAAGAAACAAGAAAGGAAGAAAGGAGCTAAAGGAAAAAAGAAAAAGTAAGAAAAGAAGGAGGAAAACGATGCATAAAGCAGTGATAAAAAAAAAGTAAGAAAAAACAGAAACTAAGATAGAACAAAGAAAAAATAGTGGAAAAAAGGATCAAATTAAAAGGGATAAATAGCAGACAAATGAATGAATGGAGACAACTGTTAAAACAGGAGGTATGGGAATAAAGCCTTGAAACACAGAGACCTTCCCATATTCTACTTTTTCCATCTTTACCCAGTATGAGAAAAAAACAGCATGAGTCATGTTCCACGTTTTTCCAGTCTTTGTAAAAACCTTGAAATGTGCTCATGCACACAATAAGCAGAAGTTTTATATTCGATTCGATCAGACGAAGGAGAGCTAGCTAGTTTTAGATTTTACAGTCGGCTACTTTTATCTAAAATATCTCCCAAAGACTGAGTGTATAAATCAGGAGTATGTTAATCAACCTGAAGAAACAGGCAGAAACTTCATGACAGATGTTTGCAGTTGTGCTGTGTGAGCTCTTGTTCAGAGGTGGAAAGAAACAGATGAAGTTCGGGCCAGCAGTAATGAAAATTGAAGAAAGCAAATGAGCGTAATCGGCCTCAGAAGTCCCAGATTGTGGCAGGTAGCCATCGGCTCTGAACGTCCAGACACTGCCAGGACCCTGGTACACCCACCTACAGTCTGGAGACGTCTGGTCTCACAAGCCAGAAAACATTCTTCTGACGTGGAAACAAAGCCAAGCTGACAGTGGGCGCTTTGGTCTAGTAAGTCAAAAACTGAAACGCTTGCCTTGAGCAGAAGGCTGTTTTGATTGACTACTGTCTGAACAACAATGCAGCACTGAGGAATGCATTGGCAACGGCAGATTTGGTGAGACCGTTTCCAAATTTGTCAATGTGCAGATTGAAAACGATCCAAACGGGGATTACAAACTGTGATTTCAGCCACCAGAAGAAGAAAAGGTCGAGCTACAGATGGTGTGAAAGGCATAAAGCTCTTATTACAGGATTACATGCAGAAACTGTCAAAATGTACAGATGAACTGTGGCAAACTCCCCCAAGATGCCAAAAAATAAATGAATAAACTTCTTCCCAGCACGTTCTGAAAACTGAGCAAGGAAAACAACTATTTCAGAGAAGTTCTCACTTATTACCGTTATTGTTATCAAGTGATTCAGTTTTGCAGTATGCCACTTTTTGTTATTAATAAAAAAAAATTTAATTCAACACATTAATTTCTAGAAGCTGCCCCAAGACTTCATGGTTATTTTTGTAAATCTAAAACACATTTGTAAACATGACTTTGTGTTTTTCAGGCAATAGCTCTAATAATTTTCTTAATTAGCTTTGCATAATTTCACTACTTTGTTACCCCTCCAGTCTTGTGACAGTACTTTATAGACATAGGGTGTCATGTGTTAATGCTTGCATTGATGGAAGAGAAAAAAAAGGAAGTGACCCCACCTTGTTTTTATTTTTACTGTATTTTCCCTTCCTCTCTCGTAAGCTATATCAGGCTGGTGAGCGTACATGAAAGTTACACTGTGGGTGGAGTAGCTTTAAATAAACATGAAATCAAGAGAAATACCGCTTTTCTGCTGTCAAAGTTGTGGGGTTCTTTAAAATAATTTTGAATCCTAATGTGAATTTCTGATATTTAAAAAAAAGTACCACTTTGCTATTTTAATTTTATTTATTTACATTAAATAAATCTCTAATATCTGTTAAGATGATTTGCTTCAGTAGTAGTTTTTGATGCATAGTTCAGACTTTTCTTATAAGCTTATAACTTTACTCATGGTTGATGTATTTGATACATTTGGAACAGTGTTTTATTGTCGCATAAACTTAAAATCTTAACCCGACATGTTTTCAGTCCATTTTACACATTAATCATTTTACACCCAACATATTTCTTCTCCTTCAGATTGTATGTTTTTCACTCACCTGATACAGCCTGTGGTGAACCGGAGGGAGTAGACGGCGATGGAGGGAAAGCGTTACTGTTGGGGTCTGAAGGATAAATCTGAACAAAGAAGTTCTGATTTTCACTCAAAATAAAAATGTCTGTTACTTCCGTTTATATTGCCTCAGAAAACAACACATAATCAGTAGAGTCCTATGTCAGTAACATTATTACTTGATTATAAATATGTACTCTACAGCTACTTACTGATGCCAAGGCTTTTCCAATTTCATCACCCGAACTTCCTGGTACAGCACCCCGATTTGCTTCATTAATAAAAGCAGAAGATTTTAATTGGTTCCGGTGCATAGTGTCTTGCAAAAGTATTCATACCTGTTGAATTTTTTCACATTTTGTCATATTCTAACCACTGACTCAAATGTATTATGTGGAAATTTTAGGTTGTAGCAGTGAGAGAATACAGCATAACTGTGAAATGGGTGAAAAAAGAACACATAATTTGCTTGCAAATGTATTTAAATGCTTTAGAAAATGTGTCAATCACTTTTCTACATCGAGATGCTGACATTTTCCCCTATCCTTCTTTAAATAATAGAACACGGTCAATTAGAGTGGATGGAGAGCTCAGGTGGATTTAGGTCTGGATTTTGACAAGGCCACTCTACCGCTTGAACATGTTTTAATTTAAACCGTTTTTGTCACAGCTCAAACATTTTAGCGTCATTATCCTACTGAAGGAGCCTGAAGTCTTTTTCAACATGATTCTGCCACCACCGTGTGGCGTGAAAGGAGCTTAAAAAACTTGAAACTGGAGATTGGGATGAAGGGTAAAGGACTACTGCCACTTCCCCACTTGGTGCTGTAAATTGCAAGTTTTCAGCTGAAATCGTAATGAAAGGTGGTCCATTTAAATGACACTTCAAAGTTATGCATTATTTTGTGTTGGCCAATCATAAAGTCTAAATAAATTACGTCAAATCTTCCAGTCATAATGTTATAAAATGTAAAAAGAATCAAGGGTTGTGACACTTAATTCAGTACCTACATAAATATATTAAAAACAAAACTACTTTGACATTTGAAGCTGAAATGGCACACAAATGATTTACCCATAATTGTTTCAGTGCCAGCGATGGGAGGTGTTTGGCTGGGGACTCCGAAGCTGCTGGAGCCTGCATGGAAGCTGGTGGGATGAGCTCCGTTCACTTCACTGCCATGCAGGGGGTAGTTTTGGGGTGAGAGGGGAAGAGGATGCCGCTTCTTAAAAGAGAACATTATATTCAGCGTTAAGGACGCGTTAAGGACGGAGAAGCTTAGAAAAAAAAAAGTTTTAACAAAAATTAAGGGGGGAAAAAAACCGAACACACCATTCTGTCTTGAGGGTTGATGGCAGTGAATGGACTGTGCTGGCCCAGATGGGGGGAGTTCCCCATCACGGCAGAATAGCCAGGCTGAATCATCGACCCGGCAGAGCCCCAAGAATCAGAGGGCGGGTGGGAATCTGTCAGGGGGAATCCAGCAGAGAAACAGGGAAAATAAGGCAGAGCCATAACCAGACACAGGAGAGAAGACAATGAAGGCCACCTATGAGCCGTGTCACATAAGCGTGATGACTTTATTCTACCGTGATTCACTATTTGACCCACGGGGCTGTCAGTAGCCTACAACCACAGCACCTATGGCTCATCTGGACATATCACAGTAAAGGAACCGACTCTCCCAGCTGCGCCGGCTTCAAAGGAAAATTCCAGGAAATTGTCGTCTTTGCCAGACTAAACTTTTCATCTAAACACAAAGAACTAGGAGACTCCAGAGGAAAATATTGTTTCAACTGACCTTGCATGTAGAACGTTGATTGGTAGACATTTCCTGCTTTGGAGGCTGGGAAGCAAGTGGCGTCCCGATTAAAATCCTCTCCTGTGGCTGTGGGGTAAACCTACAAATAGAAAAGTGAAATGATGACCGAGTCTGACAGAACAACACAATGAGCTCAAACCACATGTTTACATCATTGTACAAAAAGACAAATTACCGTTTTTTCCCCCTCACTTATATTCAATCAGACAAATGTTTCTCTCTTTTAGATTGCACAAATAATTTAGATCTGCAGAATGCCAGAGTAATGAGAGATTTTTTGTTAATTTCTACGAATCCAACAGCTTTCTTACATTTTTCTCATGTGTACTGGAATTGCCGTTGAGCTGTTTGACTTGGTTCAAACTGTTTTCGTCTCCTTTCACAAACTTATATCGACTTGCTGGAATTTTGTCCCATTCCTCCGGACAGAACCGGTGTAACTCAGTAAAGGAGCCTTTTTCCACTATTATTTTCTTTTCTCAAGATGCAATCTATTTTATGAAGTGTACCAGTTCCTCCTGTCGCAGGCCACCCCACAGCATGATGCTGCCGCCCCATACTTCAGAGTTGGGATGGTGTTCCCAGGCTTATTGTCCTTTCCCCCTGAATGTAACGATGGTCATGATGGTCAAACAGTTCCACTTCAGCTTCGTCAGACAGCCGGAACTTGAAAAAATGTATTTTTTTCTCCTTTGGTGCATTTTTAAATCGTAACCTTGCTTTTTATGTTGCTTTTGGAGCGATGGCTTTTTTCTCCGAGTGTCCTTTCAGCCCTTGTTGGTAAACAGAATGTATTTCACAGTGGAAATAACACTGCTTCACCATCTTCAGCCAGCATTTTCATAAGGCCACCCCCTTTGTTCTAAGGATGATTCACAGACTTCAGACCAAAACACATTCTCTTCTGGGACACATCCGTCTCCTTCCTGATCATTAAGATGACTGTTCATTCAAATGACATTTAGACTTAAATGTGATTGTTTGGGTAGTCTTCACTTTCATATATTTGGGAATTGTAACTAAGAATGAATCAGACTTATGCAGTTTCACAATTCCCTTCCTCCTCTTGGTTGTTTTTTTTTCCTTGTATTAATCCTTGATGTCACACAAGGTACCTGTGTTTTTGAAGTGTTCATTTAACTCAAATGTGAATGAACATGTCAGAAGCTTACAAAGCTACTATGTTATAATCTGGGTTTTCCTTGATTGCTTAAAGGCAGAATATTATCAGTTCTGTCTTTAAAAAAAACATTTAAAAAAAAGTTTCCTCAACTACTCAGGCACTGAGCACATATAAGTAATTTTGGTAATCCTAACTGGGCCACAGCAGTGACCCTGTAGTATAATTTATTATTAGAAAGAATAAAAAAGTATTTTTGATATTGTGTAAACTTTTGATTTTAAGTGTTTCAAAGAAAATACACTTTTTTGAGTTTGCATAAAACTTTCTAAAGTTTTTACTACAATACGCTTAGCTCTGTGTATGATCGAAATCTATTTCTTTCTGAAGCCAAATTGCTACTCAGGCTAACAAGGATTATTCTATCTGGATGAACACTTTTTAAAATAACATTTCTTTAGATTTGAATAAAGATGAGACAGTAAGAAATGTACAGCCAGACTCCTTTTCAAGACCATGAACATATTTTAACGTGTTACGCTGTTAAAAACAGGCATGGAGTTCAATCTGCTTAACAAACAAAGTTTCGACCAATCAAATGCAATTTTCATATTGAGGTGGGAATAAAGAAGACATTGTTCTGTGTCACCTCCGTCCAAAATGAGACTCAGTCAAATCAAGAAACCAAGTATGTCTGTAAAACTGAGACCAGAGCGAACTGAAGTTTTCTCCTGTAATTTGATTAAACAGAGAAAAAAAGACGAGGAAAGAGAATGAAGAGGAGAAGAAGGAACAGGGAGATGCACTCCTAATTACTGAACCATCTGCCGAATCCTGGACAGCAGCCAACTCCGCTGGCAGCTGGGATGGAGGGATGGGGGAGGGAGTGTGAGAAGGGGGAGGGCCGTTGTTTATGGTTGTGGAAGAGGAGAGAGAGAGAGGCTGTGTGAGGTGGGGCAGCGAGCAAGAAAAAAAAAAGAGGAAACAGGGTGTCCATAGAGGAAAACATGGAGGAGAGAAAGAAAGAGAGGGAGCAAAAACCATCAACCCCCTTCAGTACAAAATCTCCTCCGCAATTTCGTACTGGAGAGGAAGAAGTGTGGCCACAAAGCCAAGGGGCCACAAGTACAACATACTATAAATATATGCTGCAAATAAGTGACTGGGTAAATAAGTGGTTTGCCCCACTGTTGCCTTTTGACTTTGCCGCTGAAGAAGCACAGATGTTCAACCTAAAAGGCCCTTGCTGCTCCTATTATTCTGCTGGAGAATCAGAGGAAGAACTTCAGATGCAAAACTAAATGGGAAAATCTTTATTCAGCTTAAAAACTGAACATTTTGGGATGCTTGGACTCAACGTTACAGACTGAGGTGTAGCACAGGGGGAAGGTTTTCTGGAAGTGTCTACTTACTGAGGAGGGGAGGCCAGGAGGAACCTTACGGATCTTTTTTGGCTGTGGATTTGCTGGGAAAAAGACAAAAAGGAAACATTGTAAAATGAGGAGATTGAAATTTACAGACAAAGCCACTCCACAATACGTAATAAAGGTTTTCCTTTTAAGCCTGTCAGCCTTTGTGCAGCCTCATAATTCCTGCACCACCAGAAAAAGTTGTGTAGTTCTGTGTATTGAGAAGGAGGTAATGATACTTTCTCTGCCTAATAAGAAGTAAGAACTCGAAACCGCGTTTTAACACTAACAAGAGAAGTGGTGGAACCCACAAATATAAATATAGATCAAAATGGAGACATCATTTGTAAAATAAAAACCAGTGGAGACAAACATGTCTGATGAAAAGAAAAATGTGTATGTCTGCATTCTTACCACTGAGGTCCTGTGCGGGTCTCTTCCTCTCGTAGGATGAATAAAACTGGGAATTGGACTTGGCAGAAGGCGGAGAGAGGCTATCAGGACTGGGCAGGGGTATCTCACTTGGCATAAAACCAGGCTACAGACGGTTTGAAGTGAAGAGAGGCAAAAGCCCTTTATAACAGCAATATGAACATGTCCATGTAGAGAAAATTAAGGTTATCATTGATATACATCTACCTTAAAAATAACCTGTTTGTTCTTATAAACTGAGAGTTCTGTTGATTTCTGGAGTTAGATGTGAAGAACAGCTTTAATTGTTAGGGTAGATTTTTACTCTGAGTTAAAATCAAGACCATACCACAGCAAATTAGGCAAGTAAGGTCTGAGTCTGGTCCAAATAATCTTTTTGGTCTTTGCAAAATGTATATATTTATTTTTGAGATCTTTGGCTTAATAAGTGCATTGAGTAGGTTGTTTTGCAGCAAACTTTCCTTTCTGAGACTCTGTATTCCAGTTAACAATTATTCAGTTACTAAATTTGTTGACCATTATTTCAATAATCATCAACGATTAATTGCATAATCACGATTAATCCGATCAATATTTTCAGCCCTATTTGTATCCACAAATCCATTGCAACAGTGGTATGCTTGCATTCATTTATTTTTGTGTTAATCTGCAGGTTTCCCTTTGTCACATTGTTGTTGGTACAACTTTACTTTCTTTGAAAGAAACTCACTGGCCTCTCAAAAAACGACTCACCTGTGTCCCAAATGACGAGTATGACCCTCGTTCAGCTTTCCCTGTTGAAATAAAGAAAAAGATGTGAGGATTATTAAAAGGCAGCTTCTATGTATCTAATCACACTGCCCTGTCTTTCATCCCATTTGCAATGTGAATGTATGCGCTGCAGCATTTAAATGAACCGAATAGACTCATTACAAATGCTCCAGGGGCAATTTTATCCAAACTCTGCCCCCTCCACTGACAGTTAAACAGAGAAGAGCTATAGTCCACTGTTATCCCCAGGGAGGGCCCTGTTTGTGCATGGGTGCCCTTTACACCCCGACCCCTCCCATTGTGAATACACACAAACAAACCCCTCCTCCACATCCTCCCCCGTTTACCCTACTCCCCTCATCCTGAAATATGCGCTGCCCTAAACTGCCACATGAGTACCGGAGACTTGTGAATGGCTGCTCTGAAAAACAAACTGCTTGTTGTTCTCTTCAGTCACACTGTCCATTGATGTACGAGTCTGAGCGCCAGTTAACACATTCCTCCATCACTTCGTCCAACACTGGTAAAATTTTTTTACCAATTTGCAAAAAAAGAAAAAAAAAATAGAAGGGATGATTTGAAAGTGGTGATGTCTGTGCTTCGAGAGCTCAATTTGAATTAAAGTCTTCTTACCAGCAATGCCTGGTCCAAATACCGGGGTAGAGGCCAGACTTTCTCTCTCACTGTAAAGGCCCTCTTCAAAAACCTAAGAGAAAGAGATGGAATAGCACTTCATTCATATTCGCAAAGCATCCTTTGATTTTCAGTTTATCTACATCAAAATGCAACAAAATGATATATTAATTATAAGATAAATTGGATTAATCGTGATTAATTGATTATTGAAATAATCGTCAACGAATTTAGCATTTGATTAATCGTTATCTGGAGTATGCAGACTCAATGAAAGAACATTTGCAGGAGAACATGAAGAACCATGAAGTTTTTATATATAAAGATATATATTTCCATTAAAGAGTTTCTTGAAATCCTTTGAAAATATGTTCTACCTAGAACTCCTTATGTGGCATAGTTTTAGTTTGATAATTTTCAAATTCTGTTAAAAAAAAAAAAACATTCTTAAGCACCTTTTGATATTTTACAATTATGAATTGGTGATGCAAAAATTTATAAATTAATCTGCAAATGATCAAGCATACACTAAAAAAAGTCTGTGTTATTGCATTACTGGCAATAAAGTGTTTATTTTGATATTTAAAAAATGTTAAATTTTTTAAATAATTCCAAACTGAATTATTTGTTCGTTATTTCTAATATTGTAGAAAGAAGATTTAAGTGGTTGAATGAAACATCTACAGAATGTGATCATCTTTTTGTGCAATTAATTGTCTGAATAATTGATAGAATAATTGATGACTAGAATAAGTGTTAGTTGCAGTCCTGAATTTACAATTTAATTTTAAGCATAAATGTAATATTGCTGCATACTTTCACAGTCACCTGCTAGTATCCTAATAAGTTTTTTTTAAATGTTTTCAATCAGTACTTAATTGAAAAATAATAAATTACACTCTTGTTTAAGCCCAGGAAGGCAGGTCACAACCCAGTATTAATCATCGACAACACTGGTAACGCATAAGTGGTCAAATCTAGAGCACTTCATAATGTTGCAGTATGTGTGTGAAAGAGGTATGAAGCAATAAATCATACAACACATGAAGAATAACACAACATCTGCACTCAATGGCTGAGGCTAAAATAAATCATACCCTTCCCTGGTTGAAAGATGGACTAGTCTGCTCCGCTGGTCCCCACGGACTGGACCCTCTCCTCTCATCTACACCTGTTGGACAAAAAAACTCTTGTCAGCCAAACAGTAATAGCTTTGTGAACACAGATTTATGTCCCTGTTTTGCAACAAATGTGTCACTTGAGAAAGTGACGACTTGCTTTGATACAGGTTTTTCAGGCTCCTTAATGTAACCTACATTGAGGAACTTCAAAGCTCACAGAGCGAGACAACACTGACAGCGCTGTCACATAGTCTGGAGTTGAGCTGTAGGAAGTTTGAATAATTAACACCCAGTACGAGGCTTCCAGAATCATCCTCGACATTCCTCGGTCTCCCACTCCACTCCTTTACGCTTTCCATGACAACACTCGTTCATAACCCATTTATTCTCACACGTTAGGCCCACACCTTCACCTTAGCACAAGGCTCACCGTCTCAAAATCACATGGCTGGCATGTGCCATCGCTGGTCGGAGCTTTGAGAAAGGGATGTCAAAGATTTGTGGAGCAGAAATCTGTGCCCATCCCCTCTCTCTCAATCTCCTCTCATACTGCAACACAGCATCTCTTGGGGAAAACTGAAGTTTAATTGCACTCGTATTTGCATAATTGTGCATATTAATGAGGCTGAGCCCTATGAATATTCATATTTTTGTTTTGTTGTCTAATTAAAAAGCTAAGGAGGGGAGGGGGGTGCGAGAATCTTGACAGGATCAGCAGTAGGACAGAATAATAGCTCCATAGTGCCAAAAGCAGCTAGATTGCAGTGACAAGTGTGAGCTACACGACACCAGCGGAATAAGAGATGAAGGAGGCAATTTCATGTCCCCTCTCGATGTCTGACTGCCGCTCTGTCTGTCAATCAAAGCAAAACTTACACGTTCGACATTTTAGCGTGTTATCAGCAAGCACCTTCAATCAAAAAAAAACAAAAACAAAAAAACCCCCAACAACTTCTGATATGTTTTAGATTTGAAACTTTCTCTGCTTCAGTTGAACACCCTCATTATCACAAACACACAGCCAAACAGCAACACAATGGAAATAAATGTCATTCTACTCATCAGGCATTAACATCGGCCGATACCGATGTTACATCGTACCCAAGAAGATGCATCAACAGGAAGCAACAATTAAATACAATTAAATTCATTCGCCAACCAAGATTTACTCTAATCCTATTTTTTGACTCAATAAAATACAATCTGACCAAGTGAATAGCACTTTTTGAGTGTTTGAGAGCAACGTTTACTAAAAAAAAAATTCTTTAACAAGTGGACTTGCATCATAAACCTACCATAACCCTAATTTCAGTACGGAAATTTTAACAACTCAGCGTTAAGCAGGCGAGATTAACAAAAAAACACTTGTTAATCTAGTAAAGCAGTTCATTTATATCTGACCATACTTGTAAATAGTTTCACTCGGTGACATTTAAAGGAGGGTCTAATTGTGAAATAACATTTCACTATAGTAAAATCACTTAAAACTACAGTGACAATTTGGAAAAAAAGAGAATAAGCTAATCCAAAAATAATGGCAGAACATTTTGTTGCCATTAAAATGTCCACTATTTTAATAGTGGATATTAAAAACTGCTCAGTACCTTCTTTAATCCAAATGACAGACAATAAGGCATTCAGTCTGGAACATGTTTATCTATATTATCATGATAAACCACTAGACTCATTATAAAACCCTTCTTTCCTCTTCGGTAGGAATAGCGGCAGAGGAAAGAGCTTTTCACAGATTCCTCGAATCATTCAAGTATCTCAATTATTAAAATTTCTCGAAGAAAATGTATCTGCCTCGAAGATTTGTTAAATTATGTGTTGCTATGTACCTCACCCTGTTCCGCCCAGTGTGGTGGGTAGTGCTCTTACTTTTGCCTATGAGTTGTTGTGAAGTGCTAGCAGCATGGTGTTGAAATGTGCAGCGTTTTGTCAGGGGAGAAATAGAGATTGCTGAATTTAGCGTTGCAATGGTTGACTACGACAGCTTTTTTGGTGTCGGAATCGCGTCGTTACGGTTTTGGAGTGAACAATAGGAATGGCAGAGAGAGACAGAGAAAAAGAAAGAGAGAGAGATCTGATTCCTCGGATAATCATAAAAATGTTCTATAGAGTACTTGATTACTAAGATATTCTTTTACAGCAGCCCTTATCACAGATAAAATGTTTATGTTAACAAATTAGAATATAGTGCCGGTCCAAGGTTTCGTCCAAACACTGCAGCTACTCTCATGGTTACACTTGTGCTGTACATACAGCTAAATGTCAGTCAGCTATCTGAAAAAGGTTCCTACACTTTTCACTAACTCACAAGTAAGGCAAACGTTTTGTTTGGAAATGTTTCCAGTCAAAAAAAGCAAGTGCAACTACAGTGTGGGAAATAAAAGGATGCAATCATCTTCATTCAAGTAAAATGTTTTTTAAAAAATGACAAAGAAGCAGTGTTGGCTGTAGACAGGCCAACTAATTAGCCAATTATTGTCATCTTATAATACCTGGTCTACTCTACTCAGGATAGAAAAGTGTAAAATGGAGAATGCTCTGCACCTAAAAACTGTGTCTAATTTGGGTGTTCATTACACTGTTTTTTTTTTTTAAGTTGCGTATGAAAATCTAATATACAAAAAAATATAAAGGGACAGAAAATCAATACTCTACATAACTATAACAGTGAAAAATTACAAGTTACTTTTGCAGTGGTAGACATGAATGTTGCTTTTGATGTAAAACAATTATGTTGTATTTTAGGTTCTTGTTTAAATTTGGTGCTAATATTGTTCCTTTTATTTTAACTTAGGATATGTTCATTTTCTCAAAAACATTTGATTATTGAATACATGTTTCCATATCAAGATTTCTTAACATTTTTTAATTAATTTTGTTTTACGAGTGAATATTGATTCCTAAAGTGGCTACAGGAGACCATACTGTTGCTTGCTAGTGAAGCATGATAATAGTATTGATTACAAACATACTAAGTATAGTCTTAGATGCCAAAATCACAAGTATCAGCTGTAAAGAACTCAGACAGGCTATAATATCTATAAGTAGGAAAAGAAATAGAGGGTGAGTAACAGGCAAATTCTCCCGAGAACCCCAATGCACTTTTCCTCCCAGCATGCAACACCCCTTTAAGGTTGGCTGGTCTATCATTACACAGCACAGACAGAGCTATCGGAAACAGACAGACAGCCTTAGTCACTGGCTTCGTGAGAGAAACGCAGGCAAATATATTGACCAAACATGCAGGCATGTCTTGGTTTTTACTGGAACGGTGCCCCAGGCCAACTGCAACTGCGCGTTCTGTTTGTCTACACAACTTCTTCCTTCCCCTGGAAAAGTGAGTCACGCAGACACAAAGCGTGGTGTCAGATACAATCTCAAGAGAGAAAACACTGTTAATGAAATCCTGAACAATGTACAATGACACAGGGCTGACTTTTTAAACCTGTTAGTCACAGGAGACTTCCTAAGTACAAGACAATGTGACACACTATCCTTTAACGCACGCAGCTTACAGTCAACTGTTTTCCAGCAATAGTTTGGATTTTTTTTTTTCTTTTTACAATTTTTGCTATAACAAGCAGAAGTCTGTGTGAAGTATTTTGTGTGAAGACTTCACACAAAAGATCTTCATGTAACTTTCCCACCTGAGTTTTTCAAATTCAGTTTCACATCTGCTTGAAACAAGGAACCTTTTCATGCAAATTTATATCACAAGCCCATCAGAATTTCTGCCCATACCACCCTAAAAATACACGTTAGAAGTCTCGGTTTCTTGTGAACTAAAAAATGAAAGCGCACATACCCAAAAAAACTGAAAAACAGTGGACTAGATTGAACAGATACGATAATCACTCAGAACAAGAGCACGGTAAAGTTTCACATTTAAACCATATGAATTGGGGGAAAAAACATGTAAATGACGACTCTACTTTAAATCCATGTGAAACTTTTAAACCCATCAGGCGTCTCTCATGGTGCCATGTGGGCAGGTATGAGACTAATGAGGAATGATGATGACCTCAAGTAAAAATAGGACAGTTTCATGGCATCACTATACAGTAAACCCCAAAAATATTCATAACTCTGGCCCACATAGATATAAAAAAATGTTTCAACCAAAAATGAAAGACGTTAATCTTATAATAAGGAATAAAACAATGTAGAAGAAGAATCATTTTAGAAAAAAATCTGAATCTGTTTTTAATTTATATTTTCTTTTTGAAAAATGTTCATGTTAAAAATAATTTTACATGTAAGTTTTTTTTTTAACTTTTGAATTTCTCTCTTAGACCACAACCCAACTTCCTCTATTATTATTAGGAATCTTTATTGCAATTACAGCAAACAGGCCCTTATTATAATTGTTGACCCTGATTTTTGCTATTTTATTGCGTTATCTTTAGCAAGTTTAGGTCTTTGAGGTAGGAAGGCCGGGTTGCATCAAGCAAGGTAGGCAAGCTAGAAGATGTGGTTGTTTTTTCCAAAGTGTCAAAAAAATGAGAAATATACATGATAGATACATAAGATTTTGGTTATCAGCCAGAACTACCAAAATAGCATTGGATACGATATCAAACCAGTGCATCCTTAATATAAAACCCAATAATATAATTGCTTTTTTGTGAAGCAGAAATGTGGTAAAGCTATAACTTTTCCAGTTCTTCTGACGTTATAATAATGTTATCACGAAAATCTATTGTTAAACTATTTCTAATCCATTGACTAGAGCAAAAACATCAAGTACAACTACAGAAATTTGGAGGCAGTTGCTAACTTTTCAGAATATTGTATATATTTTTTTTGATATTTAGTTCTTTATAAATGAACATCAGGAGTAAAACAAGTTTATCTTAGTTAGGGAGCCCCCATGCAGACAGACAGTAGCTGGCTACAGTGTTGAAATTGCAGTTTTCACATTATTTCGAGAGACGGTTCCACACCATGACTGACTGTGATTTTTGATGAATATGTTCAAGCAACAGAATGTGTCCTTCTCTTAAGGAAGGCAAAAGTGACCTAGGGTTCATTCAGACACCTGACTGGCAGTGAGCAGCAACAGACTGGTTAGGAGCAACACATCCAGGAAGCTATAAAAAACACAAGTCATTTCAACATGTTTTCTTGAATCTGAATCAAAAGGAACCACCACGGGATAGGTAGGAATGGTATGATGGAAAATGTTTGTGGTTTTGAAAGCGTAACTTTTAAAAACCTCGGCATGCCTTGATAGCAGTAACCAGCCCACGCCTAATTCAGTATGTGTGTAAGACTAATGAGTGTTACATAATTACTCATCAGGAATCAAGAGTTTTGAGCTTTGATATTAGACATCAAACAGCATAGCTCATTTCAATGCCAGGGGTGTGTGCCTAGGGTGTCTGGATTTCCACTGAGCCTCTTATCCTCTGCTAAAACAACTCCCTAATTTTAACAGAGTAACTAAAGGTTGCTTTATAATTTTCTTTTGTTGGGTGCATTTACTTACTTTTATGCTGCAAAGGATCAGAGTCTGAGGTAAGAACAAAACTAAACTCTTGAACAAGAGTCTTAGGAATATCTGCTAAGCTCAGTCCAGGCATTTCAAATACAGAAATGAGGAGCAACTTGATCAAAAAGCTCAAAGAACTCTGGTACGGTTCCTGTGGGCCGAAGGTGCCTCATGGGAAGCCGTTAGGATTGATAACATCTACATGCCTCTTTTGTAAGAGTGCGCCTGGTCCTTATAGAAGAACAACACAAGTAGCTTTCTTGTGAGTACATGAAACAGAGCCCCCAATAACCCCACCCAGCAACCATAAGTGCTGTCTTTGATCTTCCTCTTGAATATCATGTTGCTCTCTGATGCTTGTTGAAAGACTTAATGCACCTCCAAAAATACAATGGCAGCAGAAAACTTTTTTGACTGCGACTATAAGGTCTGGTAGAGTAGTGATTCAGCATCTGGGGTCGGCATGTAATCCGCCATCAGACATATGAAAGTACCACCATCTGATACTGGGCATCCTAGTTATTATTTGACAACACTGACTTGCAAGTATGCTTTTACTAATATGAGGGTTGGATTTGTGTATCTGATGAATTTATGAAAACTAAAACAAGGAAACGAGAACAATGTATTATTCTATTACAACTGGAAAGAAGCCAAGAGAATAAAAATGAGGTAGCGAGACTGGAGATCACCTCTAATAGATTTATTTTTAGAAAGTCACAGAAGCATTACCAAGCAATATGGCCACTGAAGGCAAACAAACTGTCTATCTTGTATAATATCTCTTACCAGGACCTCCAAACTGGCTGCTGGCGAGAGTCGTCGGCCCATTCTTTCCATTCGAAACTGGAAGTTCAAACATCTGAAAAGAGAGCGATAAATCTGTAAAACCACAGCAAGGCAATAAAACATTTGTATGTTCTCTCGATGTTTATGCAAACGTTGATCAGAGCCTAATCCAAACTGTCCTACATGCTTTTGCTAACAACAGCAATAAACATAAGGCAACCCGAGCGTTTCAGCTATGATTTGTGACAAAAGTAAATAAATAAATAAATTGAGCCAAGACAAACAGAGCTTTATAAAAAGCATGGCTGCTTAAACACATTACTTCCTAATGGAGAATACATCTCATTCATTCCTATTTTGAGGTATTCATCACCAGATTTGATGCTTATTATTAAAATGAAATGGATTACGAAGATAACATTGAGGCTTAACAGGGCCTTACCGCACTAAAATCCAGCAAGTCGCTCAGCTCCTTGTCGTTTTCCACTGCAGCCATTCTCTGATGCTGTTCACTGGGCCTTTACAGTCTCAGCAACAGACTACAAGGACAAGCACAAACAACATGATGTCATTTTGCTTCAATAAACCGATCCTGATTTCATTAAATGCATTGATTAAGATTACTGTTTTCTGCACTGTATATTTTAGTGTAGAGAGTTGTGTTAATGCTGCATTCCAGCTTCAAAACATCAGCTCTTCTGCAAAACATTTGCTGGTAACAGCAAATGTTGTTTAATCTTTAGATGGCATATTGAAATCGAGCTTTGTCAGAAGAAGGATGAACAACATATAACAATGTCCAATTATTTGTTATCACTGATTCCCAAAGAGGATCGAATTCTCCCTGTTCAGCGCAGCTAGAAATGCTAAAGGTGGATTGCCAAAATCATTCAGTTCATTTAAAGCAGCAGGTTTCAAACTCGGCTAAAAACAAACGTGTGAGGCTCCGCCCCAAACAACTACAATGTCAGTAAAGACCGATTAATTGTTGCCATGTCTCTGCTCAGAAAATAAATACTGACGCACAAGCAATTCCATTTATACATCTATTTCCATATGCGCGTTGGTCTGCTATGCTAACTGACTTTGACACAAATACATTAAGGAAGAAAAAAAAAAAACACTACTTAATGAATGACGAAGCTTTTAATTGTGGTTAAAAAGGATGCAAAAAAATAAGTTCTCACAAGTCAATACCTCTGAAGATGATTAATAAATGAGTGGATAAAGTTCATATTGCTTCACACAGCCTTTTGTCCAACAGAATAATGTATGTATGTTAGTAAGATTTAGTTTTAGTCACTAAATTTATGGATACACCCATAAATCTTTAATTTGCACAAAGGAAACCCGCAAAGTAATTTTGTGGCAGAAAAAATATGAATTAATTTGCAACAATGATCTTAGCTTTATGCCTTTTTAATAAAAAAATAAAATAGAAAATAGAAAACATACAAAAGGACATTGTGAGTTCTTTAAGGGTGCTTTGTTTTTATAAGAAATCGTAAATAGCTTATCTGATTATTTCAGGACTAAAACAATCAAATACAGGATTAACCAACAAATTAATAACTGCATCCCCACGTTGAACTGAGCTATCTTTATACCCTCACAGCCAACAATTTAGTCAGAGTTCTGATCAAGTAGTGAGAAAAGTAAAACCAGTTCTAAAAGTAGCCCACATCAAACCATGGTTCAGCCACAGGCCACGTTGCACTTGGTTTTAGTCAGCCCCTGGACTTGGGTGCTTATTCCACATCAAAACCCAACTGTGTTTTTAGCATCTCTGTGCACTGAAATCTACAGAGTGATAACACAGCATGCTGGATTCTTAAAGTGGCAATTTATGGCCAGCCAACATCAACACAAATGTGTCTTTTAAAACTACAATTATGGATTTGGTAAAAAAAAAAAAAAAAGAGGGCTTTGATGTTCTCATGGGTCAAAACAGATTATTAAATATGAACTTAATTGTTTTACCAAACATGATCGCTGTGGTTCAGTGGCTTTTCCTGAAGTCCATTACAAAATGTGTACGTTTTTTGGATTAAGAATATGAACTACTATTTTAATTATGTACAAAAAAATTCAATAATGTAATACAGTGAAATTCTCTTTTAGATTGTTAGGCGCTACTCTTACATTGTAAACTGGCTAGATAAAAGAGTGGAGGAGAAAAAGCCAGTCAAAAAGCAGAATGCTAAAAACAATCATCACATCATGGTTAGAGATTTGTGACCTATTAAACTTCCTGTGTTTTTCAGACGTAACTGACGTAACAAGACTACCATCTGAATAACTCATTTATTTTTATGACCTTGCCGACGAGCTGAATTTTAAAATAAAATCATCACAAGGGAATAGCAAATATAGACTTCCGACAAACCTCCATTCTGTCCCCAAATGATTTTATTATTATTTTTAAATAAGTTTTTTTTTTAACAATATCCTGAACAATTGTGAACACAATATTTAACTAGTGAGATTTAGTGAGCTGCATGCTCCAGAAAATCATGAAATGACATAATGCAGAAGTTTGCTTCCCATTTTATTGCTTTTTGGCTATTCCAAAATTCATACAAAATAAAGACTTTTAAAATCTGGACAGGATTATCCCACACCGAAAGGAGATTCTTTAAATTAGGAGGTCAGTAACTAAATACTGACCCCAAAAAAGAAATATATGTCAGGCTATATATATATATATATATATATATATATATATATATATATATATATATATATATATATATATAGTGCAGTATTGTTATTTTTGATCTATGAACTATTTTGCCACTACTGATTCGATGAGCTCTTCAATATTATTAATATGATTTAATTCAGTAATCGTCTACTGGGTGGCAGAATGGTTTCAGTGCTAAATGTAACTATTGTAATGAAGTGGCCTTTCTCATACTGAAAGACTTTTCTTTTCAACAGGATTATTTTCATGTTTTAGAGGGAGTCCGGCCACTAAAACCTTTATAGCCGACGAGAAAAACAACACAAAACATGTGTATTTCTTGCTCTCATTATGTATGTAAATACTTGTCTCTCGGCATGTCATTGGGGTTATAAACCTATTCATGGTGCAAATTATAGAGAGGGATTTGGGAGGAGATAAACAAGAAGTGATGTGATGAATATTAAGTTGTGGAGAAAGGGTGAGATTGTATGCGCTCCTCCTTTTTTTTTTTTCCTACTCAACATCATCATTATATAGTAGCTGCTTTGCTTTCTCTGCATTAGCGTGTCTAAAATGAATAAACACTGCGGTGGTGTGACGACCAAGAGGCTGTAAATAGGGGTGCATGCGCGGAATGCGACCGAAGAACAATACGCTGACAGCACATAATCTAGCAATTTCTGTCTCTCAGCAAGCCGAGGTCAAAATGGGGGATAAGTGCTTAGCCCCTCCTAACAAATGGAAGTTGCATTGCGCTTGTCTTGAGCACCCCCCACCTTTTTGGCCAGGGGTGTTTGGGGGGGAAAGTTACAAGGCAGAAATAGCTGCAGAAAAAAACAAGAGCTCCTGGCTGGCGTCAGAAAACGCGGATCCAGGCTGTTCCTCGGCGTTTATACGTCTTCACCTACGGGGTTTGGAAATGCTGCGGGACGTTTAAAAGGATCTGAGGGGCGGGGGAGACAAAAAAACAAACAAAAAACAAAAACCTGTTGCCTGCCGTCTCACATCGACATGAGCACAAAGACTGAGTCCACAAAAAGTTGAATGAATATGAATCGACTGTAATAAACAGTTTCACTTTTCATCATTAAAACTGATTTTCGACTGCCGCTGGTTAACGAGGGATTTATAAAAGTCCTGCAGTAAAAAGCTGCACGCGACGGATCTAACGGTAGACGGCGAAAATACACAACTTATTTTCTGCTGTCACTTTTGCACTTTGCGCTGATTTAACAGCGATTCGGGGCGCAACTGAACGCCGCATTCGTCATAAACACAACACGAGCGATATAAAAAGGAGTCAACGGCTTGCGTCGAAACGCAAAACCCGCATAAAAGTGCCGAGACCCCCGGGGGAGCTAACGCGCTCCGGTAACATGCTAATAACGTTACAGCTCACAGAAGTGAACAAAGAAGTGTTTTCCATCACACCCTAATGCTGTAAAGCACACAGAGCACCTCTGCGAGACCGAAAGGAGGGAAGAAAATCCAACACCCCGCTTTTCTTGTCTACGACAACTTCACCGCTGCGCTCAAAACTTAGTTATTACCCCGAAATCAGCGTTAACAACACAACCTCGGCTTCGCGTGAATGAGCTTGTTTTGAATGCGTTCACGGTTACCTGGAGTCAGCAGTATAGCATCCAGCAGCGAGATATACGACAGTGTATGAGAGAGGAAAACAAAGTTAGGGATAGAATCCTTCTCCCGTCGTCCCGGTCTGCGGGCTTGATGAAGCGCAGGGAAGACAATATAAAACGCTCCTCGCTGTCTCGCCTCCGTTGTTTGTTTGTTTTCGTTACGAAGCCGACCTCGCGTCTTTAACGCGGACCATAACTCTTGCGGTACTCTTGTTTCCTTTCACTTGGAGAAACTGCGATCATTTCTTTTCCCAAGTAGACATTTTCACAGCCTCCACATTGTCGGTTCCAATGGAATATCACTCCGCAGCGCACAACCTACTGGAGGACACGGGCGCCGAAACATCAGCGGCGTCGGGTTTCAAATGAGGAGAAGAATTCAAATCAGGCAGTTTTTGACAGTTGGCGTTTATGCGCAGCGTTTAACAGACGCACCGTAAAATGTCAAGGCTTTAAAATCGCGAGCGAGACACAAAATGGCACAGCCACAAATTTAGGGGATCTACGTCAACTCGCGGATGAGGACAACAGAGTACACGACCGCAAGATGGAACGATAATATCGGAAGGAAGGACCAATAGGACGCCGCGAAATTTTGATTGACGTGCAGGACGACCAATTATATCCCAGCGTCACACTCTCAAGTGCAGTGTCAATTTGCCAAAGGGTTTTGTGGCGTTCTGGTGTTCTTGCACCCTTTGCTACGAAGTAAAAAAAAAAAATTATAACACTTAGACAAGACACGAGGGTTGCTGCCCTGGCATGTCTCTGGATAACATAATTAAAGTTTTCTTTAACACCCACTTGGTTGAATTTATTCCTAAAGTTCGTAATTCAAAAGTTGACTTGCAGTACACTGCTGTGAAGAAGTATTTACTCCCATTTAAAGTTTTTTTTTTCACATTTTATCACCTTGCAACCACAAGCCTATATATCATTGGTATTTTAACATGTCAAACCAGCACGATGTGTGGCCGTGCAAGTGTCTTCTGATCTCCCTAAACAAGTTGTAGCTGTGACACGACAACATGTGAGAAAAAGAAAAACAAGGTAAAGGAGGCAAATGCGTTTGCTATTTCTGCTTTGTCTGTGCCCTGTTTGAAAGTCTTCAACATACACTGTTGCAAAACTTTTTCTTATTTCACAAATTAAAACATTGTAAAACTACAGTGTCCGGCAGGCCTTGGACGCAAATATATATATAAAAAAAATATATATATATATATATATACATTGATTTAATTAAGAGCACAGGACATAAGTACCGTATGTGCTTGCAGTACCCATGTCATATCTTGTATGTTCATCTCCTAACATGTGTTCTGAAAGCCAAAACATAACTTTTGTAAATGATCCAAAGAAATCATGCAAGAAAGGCTGGAAAATGTGTAGCATCGCCCACAGTAACCTACATAAACGGCCACGCTGGTGTTGTTGTATATCAAGAGAGCTATTTTTGGCATTATGAAAACAAGGGTGCAGGATGCAGACACATGTTCTAAAGAAAACCTCAACTGCTTTGGGGGGGGGAAAAAAACCCTAAGTGACATCTGTGCCGGCCTTTACGAGAAAAGCCAGCCATCCACTTTGTGGTCTGCAAACATGCACACGAACATTTACGAGGCATGCATTGCACAAATGCAGCGCTGGGACACACACCTGTATGTGATTAACTGAGCAGGTCCTGCTATAATCTCACAACATGGTCAAGGTTTTGTTAAACTTCTAATATACACACTTTTTTTGTTCTTGTTGTTGTTTTTTTTTTAAAGTCATTTTTCTAAGAATAATATTTTTGATTTGCCCTGCAAATATCAAAAATATTAACATAATTATTTTTGTAAAATACTGCACTTAGATTCATGGAGCAACTTCACCGAAATAAAAAAGGATGCAAAAGTACTGCACAGCTTGGGGGTTTTGCAAAAGGGTGAAGAGCGTTCAGCCTACTTCAGCACATTAACCTCATTATGACAAAAAGGGTTTCATGTCACAAATTCACTGTGATGCTCCAACAGTACACCTGGGGAAAGGTGGCGCACACATTCTCATGGAAGCGATCGTATCTCTGCATTCCACTGAACATCAAAGATCGTTTGGTTCGTTACTTTTTTGAAAGTAGGACAACACGACTGAGCCATCGTAACGTCAAGGTTCTATGTCAGAGTGCAAGATAGAAATGGAGTCTATATTTAGAGTGGAACTCCATTTTCCTAACCCCAAACCTTTGCACCCTCCTCTCCACCCACTCTTTCCTGGGCTCTCTCCTCTTTTAAGCATCAGCTCTTTAAGGTTTTGTAAATGGGTTACCCCCATGCAAGCCACCCACGCATCAGGTACAGTATCAAAACCTGGGGCATCCTGTTATGACTTCTGGTTTCCTGTTTCCTGTAAAAAAAAAAAAATACAGCCCCCCTCTTAGCTGTCGTTCTCAAACACAAACACACTTCACACCCCACAACCTGTCAAAAAGCAAACAGAGCAGAGCTGGGATCAGCTTTAAGCAATCCGCTGCAAACAGACTAAATTAGTTGGAGAGCTTCCACTTTCAGTTCTGGCTCAAGTATGTGCTGGATTGTAATTGTGTTGTTGTTTGTCTTCTTTTTCACTCCAAAGAAGACTTAATCTTGCATTTGTTGCAAGCCTAAGACTGAAATGTTTAGCAGTCAACATTTGAGGAAAATACACAGTGTCTTGCAAAATTATTTACACCCCTGGAACTTTTGAACATTTCATCACATTATTAACCCTCAATTCTTTTTAGTGGGATTGCATGTTACAGATTAACCAAAAGTAGTGCATACTTGATTTTCAGTGTTTTTCCTACTAAAAATCTGTGAAGTTTGGTGTGTTCTTTCCTGATACCCCTAAATAAAATCTGGTGCAACCAAGTACTTTCACAAGTCATCTAAGTAGTAAATTGTTTGTAATTTATTCTCAGTATCACTTTGCATCTTCAGTGAAAGCCTCTGAGTGTTGCTTGAAAACATCAGAGCAAACAGCATCATGAAGACTTAGGACCAGGTAGGTCAGAGATAAAGATGTTTTGATCTTGAAAACAGTGTTTGGATCTAAAAGTAGACATTAAACACTTTTTGCTCTAAAATGAAATTAAAATGGAAAGAGAATGGCACAACTACAAATAGAAAGAGACCTGAAAAGGCATGCAGAGAAATAACTTGCATGAGCAAGAGTGTCGTGGTAACTCAGACGTCGTTGCAGAGGACCACAGCTCTATATGTCGACAGCTATTACTTGTGCACTCCATGAATTTGTGCGCTCCCTAAATCTGGCCTTGATGAAAGACCAGCAAAACAAACAGAATTATGGTGGCAGAATTATGCTGCAAGGATGCCTTTCCCTCAGGATGAAGGGACGTTCGAGAGAATTGATGGGAGCATGTACAGAAACGTTGACAGAAAAGTTATTGAATGGTTTAGAGCAACCCACTTCCACACAATAAGGTAGTTCTGTAAAGTATCAACTCTGGAGGGTGGTGAATAGAAATGCACACAATTGTTTTTAGATTTTTCTTTGAAGAAAATGACTTTGTGTTGGTCACAGAAATCTCAATTTCACATTGAAGTTTATAGCATAATGTGACAAATACTTGACTAACACATTGTAAAGGAGTCACTGAACACTGCTGTGAAAGGAGCAGCTGCTTCACCCCACTGCATTTAATTTGTAGTTATTTCATGTCTTCATATATATTGTGCCAAAGACGAGGACGTACATGTGTCAGGGGACCATTTCCACAGCAAAAACAGCAGTGTATGCTTTTGAGTGAGCTATTGGTCCCTGTTTGCCAAGAAATGTTAAAAAAAACAACAAAAAAACAAAAAAAACACATACAAACACTGCACCATAAAACACAACATGCCACCGCTGCACATCCCCCTCCATGATACCTGAGCATCTCTCACAACAGGGGTCAGACACATCACTCTTAATGAGCAGAAATCTCACCGACTTCCTGCAGTGGCTCTAGCCCGCCATGCTGAATGCTTGGTGATAATGTGCACCACTAATTGTCAAGAGTGCAAACTCACCCTTATGTGTTAAACTGTTTGCTGATGCCAATGCAGAATCTTGGGAGGCTTGCTTAATGGTTAGTTCTGTTTTCATCACCACACCTTACCAATGATTTGATGTAAATCATAATCTTTTGTGGTCATGGCGTTGTATTGGTCACTGGCATCTTTTTGAGCCTTTAGAAAAAGGAGGAAAGCACAATGCTGTTCTGTTCCTTTCCCTCATTTTCTGCTCCCCTTCCCCTTTCTTGCAGATTGGAATTCATTAGCAATCAAAGAGCCACTGACAAACGCCCAATCTTAATTACCCCCTCATTTGCATATTTGCATATTAATGACTGCAGACTTTGCTGTTTTTCTGCTGCAGTTCTCCTCCTCCCATCATCACGGCTCAGACACACTGCCATAACACACACCCCATTACTTTTTTGTTGTTCTCAAAGATAATCGTTTTTTGATTCTTTTAATTTTTTTTTGTTTGGAGTTGACAGGCACACAAAGAAATATATTTTCTAATCTCTTGAAAGATGAATTTTGTAAATTAACTACACGCTGAAATATGAACGGATGTCTCAGCAGAGTCACAGCTTTTATTTTTCAGTGTTTTGAATGTGCAACATTTATTGGCTTAGCTAAACAAAATACTCGACCAAAACATATTTCGATATCATATCCTGGAATATGGGTCTGTTCAGTTTAAGTGCCCGACCTGGAGCTCATGAGTGGTGTACTTCAGGTGCTGCCCCCTTCTGGCCTAAGACGTGTACAACCGAAAAGCATGTGAAACCCTGACGCCCAAAGAACCAAATAAACTACAGATGATTCCATTTAAAATTGTAATCTCTCTTCGCAAAAAGGGGGGAAAAGAGAGAGACTAAGATTCGGACAAATCTGACACAAAACCAAAGACATCGGGAGAAAATACACAGAGGAAAACAAAATAACAACGAAAGATCAAGCCGTCCAAACACAGGAAGCACGTGGCAAAGTCATGTCCTGTTGTTCAGCATGCAGTGTATACGAAACAATGACCATTTTTTGCAGCTGAGTGTATTTACATAGCCATAGTGCAAGTTCCTCATATGACAAGATTTTGGTGCTTTGCAAAAAAAATATATATATATATATTCATGTCCCTTATCGTTGTATTATGGCCACAGACATCAATTTATCTTATTTAGATTTTATATGATAGAGCAACACAACATACCATATATTTGTAAACATAAAAATTAGAAAAATGACTAATAGATTCTATATATTTTTCAAAAATAAAAGGCAGAAATTGCACCATGCATTTGTATTCAGTCACCTTTGCTCTGATACCAAGATAATATCCAAGCCCTCAGAAGGGACCCAGTTAGTAAGTACTCTCAGGATAGGTTAAATTACACCCTTGTATAATTTAATCTCAGTTTAAACACTGCTGTCTTTGAAGACCTCTGAGGTTTCCTTGAGAACGTTGGGAATAAACATC